ATTAAAAGAAACCATCGTTTTGTAGAAGGTGGGTTTTAATTTGTAGTTTATTAGTTCAGATTTCACCTTAAAGACATAATCTTGCCTCATTATTCACATAAAATATCAGAAACAAGGTGTATTAATTAAATAAAATCAGAACACCATTATCCTATTTATTTACTCGCTAGCAATAAAAATGAAAATAATTTATCTTAAGTCTAATGTTTTCATATAAACATATTTAAATTATTAGGGTGAGAGAAGATTTGGCCACTACGATGAGCAGTTTCAGCGAAATATAAAAACGGTTAAGAATAACGAATCACGGTTGCTGCTAACCGTTGTAGTTGGCAGTATCAGCGAAATAGAACCTTAAAAAAAAAAGAAGAAATATAAAAAAAAAGCTTGTTCAGAGTTTAGTCCTGTTTATGATAAAACATTTACTGTACAATTATTTATTGAGTAAAATAAGAACCTGATTGAGTAAAATTTCTGGCTATTAAAGGAAAACATATACAAAGAAGGTATGTTGTGAAAATAAATATGTACTAAAAACTATTGCGCAACAACATAATATTAATTGTTATTGGTGTAGGTCACGTGAAGAAATGTCGCTACTATTAGTGCAAAAGATCGTGTCGGAAAATTGATTGTTTTTCTAGAGAAAAAAAAACTGAATATTTCTTTATGATTTATTAGTATAATTTCATATTTCATTTCTCTCTGATATTTTCTATAATAGCAGATTACTTATAGCAGTTGCAGACTACAAAATGTCTGCTTAAGCACACATAGAATAAAAACGAAAAATTTTCACATACATTGTCCACTAACTATAGCGATGTGCTCTGGCTTGTTGTTAACTTTAACGATTAGCTTTTGATCTACAAGCATTTGTTTTAATTTTTTTCACTCTCAGTTTATTACACGGGAGCACAAAAATTATTTTATTTTATTAACAGATGATCGATTGAATATCAAAACAACATAAGTGGTCGATATTTGAAACAAACTTTCATACAGTAAAAATATTTGAGACCAAGTTAAACTTTAATATGAAAGTGATGAGAGATACGAAACCAAACTTGAATATATTATTAAACAAAACTTTTTATATATATATATATGTTATATTATATTTTTTTTTTTTTTTTTTTTCGGTTGGCATTACAGACCATGAAGATCTTTGGCCGCGGGATGTGGTCTCCTTACAGACGTATGATACTTGCGGGAGCTGAGATAGCCTGGAGGGGTTCACCCAACCTCATGTTGCAACGAACCATGGTTTCCATGGTGCAGCGGCAGGCCACTCGTAGCTCCATAGCCGATCCCCTTTGGGGCCAATCTGGCAATGTCCTTCCCACCGACTTTCTCGGGTTCAAGGACGGTGACAAATCGGTCTAGATCCATGGGTTATGGCTGCTCGGAGTCTGCAGGCGCACGAGGACCTGTATTTCTTTCCCCGAAACAGACCGTCCATGGACCGAACCTCAGGGGGGCTATTGACATCCTGGTAAACCACATCCCGATTCCCGATTCAAGTACACGGGGTAGGGTCATCAGTCCTACGCCCAGTCGGTAGAGAGAGAGAGAGAGGGAGAGAGACTGCTAAACAAAGGAATTTACTTGTTTGCATAAAAGAGATCAATCTTCACTTCACAAATCACGACAAGAATTGTAGGATGACTAAAAAACAAAAACAAAAAATTGTAACTTCTAAAAAATTAGCTCCTGCTTTTGTAAAACTTTCTAAAGCAGATATCTAGAATCCTCTAAGAAATTTCTGGCTGGCTAATCACTCCCTTTACCCTTCGCCACGTACCCCGAAAAGCCGTCCTCTTTCTTCCTCACATCATGGAATCTTACGCACAACTCATTTTCCTCTCCTTTTGAAAGTTTCTACAATAAAATGATTCAAAAATCTTCAAAACCCACCAGTAACCCTTTTCGTTCTTAGTATGATGTCTTTTCGTTCTATTGTACTTCTTCCTTTAATTAGAAAAATATTCGAGAAACTATTTCTCCTATGGATAAAGTCAATCCTTGAAAGCCAGAAAATTATACCGAACCACCAGTGTCTAGACAACTTTCCAAATTTTAGGTTAAGGCAAGGAAAATAACTCTCATGAGTTCTTAATAGACAACATTCTACTTATTAGCCAATGGATTGTATTTTAATGAATCGGTAGGTTATACGAATTGAGCAAAAACGGCTTACCATTGTTATGTTGTTACAGACATCCTATGGTTACCTGAGGGCCCTCAAGTCAGGTATTTTGCCTCTGTGGATATCAGTGCTGGAATGGGGCGAGTGTACCGTGAGGTTGTACGGATTAAATTTTATCTTTTAGATCTTTTAAACTGCCCCCACCACTCGCCGTAACGAGAGCTACGTTTGCACAAACAACCAGTGTGGCTTTCGTTCGTACCATTCCAACGAACAACAGAGCCATCGTACAGTGGACCCTATTTTAGTCGCCTTCGAGAAATAAGAATACTGCTCCCGATATTCCTAGACATTGAGAAAGTGTTTGATAGAGCCCGACACAAAGTTCTGTTGTTGAAAATAAAACCGCACATATGTTGTACTTACTTTCTTATACTTCAATCTTTCATTCTCGACAGAGTCTTCTGTAATTTTGTAGATTTCTCTATTTCTTCCTCTTTTCTCTATCTTGCGGGCATACCACAAGGTAGTGTATTAGATCCTCTTCTCTTTTCTCTCAATATATCTGATATCACCGAGCACCCTAGCACCGCTTTCTATAGCTTCGTTAAGGTCACTGGGATTATTTCTTCACACAAAAATCCAACCATTCCTTAGTTACCCTTTAAAATCACCTCCATGGCTTAGAAAAATGGTTCAACAAATGAAAAATCAAAATAATGGCAGCAAGTCAAGTGATGTTAGCTTCTCCCTGAGGAAGATTTCGTGTCCTGCCGTGACAATAGCTAATAAGCCAGTTCTCTCATGTACGCTATTTCGGACTACTCTTGGATAACAAACTCACCTGGAACATGCACACCAGATTAAAAACAAGAACTGACCAGACGATACAAACAACTATCATATCTGTTGGACTACAGATCTGCTCTGAATTTACAAAACAAGCGACCAATCTTTGTCATCATACTAAGACCTATTTGGACATACGAAGCAAAACTTTCGGGTTCTGCAAAACACGTCCATAAACAAAATACTAACTGCACAGTCTAAAACACTTAAATGCACCCTTGTATATTTCAAATCACACCATACACAACATGAACTTTCACAACAGTAAAAACATAACATACATACATAACAAATACACCACATTGATTACTTAAACTATTAATTACCCTTATCTACTCGTGCTCTTTCTTTCTTCTTCCCGGTTACCGGGGAAGAGGGACGAGGGGAGGGGATCTCAAAGACGACTAAAAAGCAGTGGCCTCAGAATCTGCTCAAAACATGAACAAGTTTTCAATAAATAACGGACAAAACGAACGACAGCACATTTGCTAGTTGAAAATCAATTGTAAATTAAATAAATAAATTTTGTTATCTGATTTATTTTTGTATTTAAAAAAAAATGAAAAATGAATGTATTTTCGCATATATATATATATACCTCACCATTTCTGGTATATATGGGTTTTAATTTATCGTTACAACTAAACTTATTCTAACCAGAGTGGAAAGGTCGCAATTTATTACATGGGTTTGTCACGAAATAAACTTCAATTCGCTCTGATGGAACACTAGACTAGAAAATGTAAAACAGGCCGAGTAATTATGTACCGTAGGTAGATTGCGAATAAAGTAATAATTTAGGAAACTAATTGAGCAAGTAATTACAATTTTCATGGTAAATAATTTGTGAAATCATAGCATGAATCACTTAGTTTTTCTAATTTTCAGATTTAATCGAGTTCGGGCCAATTTGATGGTTTTAATTGATAAATATGAACGAAATTCACAAATATGTTTGCCAAACTTAATTTTTTTTTTTAATTTTAATGAAATTTACAACTGTATTACATTAAAAATATAACAGGTAAATGGGACATTGGTAACATGACATGTTAAATATGAAGAGAAACTACCCATTTGTAGAACTCAAATTAAAGTTCTATATTAGAAGATCCCGAGGCCATCTTCTTTTCAGACGCCTCGGAGTGTTATCAGGAATAGAAGAGGAAGCAATGTTTGAAACAAGAAGGTTCGTATGTGCTGTGGCAAGTTAGTCTGTTGAGAGTTGTTATTTTTATTGGTTGATGTGTTATCGTTAATTTTGTCACTTATAGATGAAGTAAGTACCTCTATGGCTGAGTCAATGTCATTTTTCGTCTTAAGTGGAATATTTAGGTCCAATTTATCTTCCAAGTCCAAACTTAATTTAAATTCCATTTCAATGAGTTTTTGCAATAGACCAATTTTGCCAGAAAATGATTTCTAATGAATGTGAAAGTTTTTTTTTTAATGTTATTAAAACTCTTGGTTTTTAATTATTTAAGAAAACTTTTAAAAACAGCAGTGCTACCATTTTGCTGAATAATATATAACTTTCCTTGAAACGGAGAATTATCCCTAAAAACAATATTTATTAAAAAGGAAGATTTATGTAAACGCTTTTTATTAATAGAAGAGAATCCTAGAGTCGACATTTTTCTCCTGACTCTGTATAAATACTCTTCTCTTTTCCACACAGCCGACAGTCTACTATATAGATAGACACATATAAACAATTAGAGTATTAATTTATTCGCAGTTTTCACTGCTTTTGCCCTGTTTAATCAATTTTGATAAATTAACTACATTTTTTACGTTCAATTAAATTACGGGGATTTATTTTAACTTTAGTAAAGATTTAATTTGACGCGATGCTAAGAAAAATAATATAAATTAAAAAATAAACAAATAATTAACATTGTCCGAATTATTTATGAACTGTAGTGGGGAAAGACATATAATATCAAATCATATAATTAGGTAACTGAAATATAATTAGATAGTTTGTGGTTCGATGTGGATGATGGTGGCTGTGATTTTGTGTTTGATCTGTGTGCTCCTCGTACTCTTCGTCGGCTACCTGGCCATATACTGGAAGCCATCCAGATTACCTGGGCCGAGAGGACTTCCGTACTTCGGGATAGCCTTCAGTATGATAGGAATAACATCCAAAGGTATTTGAAGTCAATACTCTTATGTAAGAAGTCTCTTAAACGTACTAACCTTAAACACATTATAATATATAATTATAAATACAAAACATAATAAAAAAATTAATTCATTTTCCACTAAAAATTTAAGTAATGTATTGCCAAAATAGGACTTACATTGACATGCTTTGAGGAAAAAAATAAAATACACAAAATTTAAAAACATTCATTTTAAAAATAAAAAAACTTTACAAAAACTATTAATTTTACAAAAATTTAAATGATTTAATGTAACTTAGTTAACTGAACTTAACAAATAAGTTACATTAATCGTTTAATCAAATTAACTTAATTTCTTTAATAATAAATTCAATAAACTATTTTAAATTTTATGTGATAATGAAAATAATCTAATAAAAATAAATAATAAATAAATAGTAATACAAATTGCAATATAAAACATTAATATTTAATACATAATAAATAAATGATAACAACAAATAAATTCAAATAATGAATTTCATCATACTTATCCTGCGATTTCCCAAATTGACAACAGCTCATCTGCTTCATGGTCAACTTAGATTTGAATCTGAAAAATAAAAAAATAAAATAAATAGTAATTAATAAAAACTCACATTTAATTAAATTCAATGATTGGATCATTTAATTTTAATTAAATTAAATTAACATATTTCAATGAACCTAAATAATTTTTTCTATGTCTGTCGGATTGAACAGCCCTGATGAAGCCCTGAACTTCGGGCTAAACGTTGGCAATTGTAAAAATAAATATTATTTTTTATTTTTGCTAATTTTATTTTAACTAGTCACCCCCAACCATCCTTCCATTCAATTACAATCTACAATCAACCATCAACCCACAATCAAAATACATTTACTGTAGTAATGAATGAGTAATTAATTGGGTCAACTACTTCCAAACTGAACCCTAATTTATTTATTTCGGAAATCGAGATGTGTCGATTCCAAGAAAAAAACACCCAACGAATCCAATGGTGCAATTATGTTTGTTTTTTTTCAAAACCAAGTTAAATTTTAAAAGAAGTTTTGTGAAAATAAATTTATTTCCAAAACTGGGAATTTTTTTTTTTTTCGAAAAATGTAATATTCGCCTTTTATGAAAAAAAAATATTAATGGTTATTAAGATTTGCGCTAGAATACAATAACTGAACTGTAATAAAACTTAATTGACAATAACTTTAAGTTAGATTTGATTTCGGTTGTCGCTTATTTTCACAACTTCGTTGATTTATTAATTAATTTATTTATTAATAATAAAAACAAGTTATAAAATATTTTTTGTTAGATTATTAATTATTTTTGTTAATGTTATTATATTAAATAATAGTGGGAGAGGAAGAAAGAGAAGAAAAAACCTTTGTACTCTTATCGCACCTCTTTCATCTCTTGATCTCATTTATATATTTATTTTATTGTTTTCGATTACCATTTTATCCTTTCTTTGTTCAAGATATCATACATCACTTAATGAAATGGTTTGAGGAATATGGTGATATTTTTGAATTTCAAATACTTGGTCAGAAATATGTATTCGTGACAGATCCACAACTTTTGCAGGTAAGATTTAAGATTCTACTTTATTTATAACTAATATAAAATATTAAAAACCTCAACAAGAGACATCAGTTATATGAAAAGTTAAAATTAGGAATAAATACAATGCTCAAAAATCCAATAATTTTTATTAATTTTAAAAAAATAATATTCATATTTTTAATATATTTTCATTTTTATAGTTTCTTATTTGCTGTAATAGTTGGTGTTTTAACTTTTTTCATATTACATTTTATTTCGGGTATATTCCCATGTTTTTTTTTTTAAGTAGATTAAAACCGTTTCATAAATTAACCAACAAAATCATAAAGATATTTCAAAATTAAAATTCTTTACTTACTAATATAAAGATACTTTTTCAAATAAACTTCTTCACCTATAATAACCTTACCTAAATTATGTAACAGTAACAAGATGCCTGTAGTCTTTGCTGTTGTACATGGCACCTTAAATTGTGTCTTAATAAATAAAATATATCTATAATAACTTTCTTTCAGCCAATTCTAAGCAGCAACACGAATATTACTAAAGGTCGATTCGAGTATTCATTCTTCAGGCCAATGTTCAACGATGGGCTTATAATTTCCGATGGTGAGTGAACAAATACCTTAAACTTTCATTTCTTAAACAGTTTTATGTGCAATTGGCCTCTTTAAGATGGCGAATGGAGAATTACAAACCAGGTTCCCCACCAAGGACTTACTCTTCTTACACTATATCTCATAAACCTTAACGTCAGTGAATTGTTTTAGACAGATACTTTTTCTTGGGAATTAACCTTGCTTCTCCGATTAGTAAAAAAATAAATAAGTTGTTGATTGATAATTTTTTATTGTACGGTGAATAGTACAATTTGCCACATTGAAGGGAAACAAGTAACAAGGAAGGCTAAGTGTTCATTCATTCCATTTATACATATAATAGGGAAATAAAAAAATTAAAATAAATAAATGAATGAATAAAAATAAATGATTAAACCAAGAAAAAGTAAATATAAAAATAGAATATCATACATACAATAAGTAAAAATAAAATAAATCATCTTAACACATTAATTTCTATGTAAAATATTTACATTAGCCCAGGAAACTTCGAACCAAGCTTTGTCCTCTAAAAGCAGGATTCCAGCCGTGTCGCTGGTAAGCCAATGGAGACTGAAGAAAGGCACTAGAGCCACAGATGCTCCGGACTTGAATGGAGAAGCTAGTCATTGCCAGAACTCCAGAAGCATATTTACAACAGATCTTTGGGCCATTACCGTTTTATCCTTCGAGGAGAATTGTAGGGATGGTGGGAGCTGGATGGGGATTGAGCTAGAGTTGGGATGATGAATAACGATGTGGTGAAAGTTTGAGAATCTGGATGGGATGATGTCAAAGACTAATGGGATGTTAAGATCGTAGTGTAAGGTCTTGTTTGTGACAAAAATGGGGCATTGACCATTGTTCTGAATATTTTGGACTGTTTGAATTCCCCGTCCTCACCCCTAGCCCGAGAGAATCCCGTATAGCCTAAAAGGCGAGGTAGGGAAGAACTGAAAAAAAAAGTACTTTGGAGAGTTCACATTCACCGAAATCAGAGATGGAAATAGCAATATCCTATTAGATCAGGAAGAAATATTAGATAAGACAAAACAGCTTCATATTATATTGACAACTTGGAAAATATTTCCATGACCCTCACAGTAACATGATAGACCTGGGAGGCACAGGGACAACAATTTTTCAGCCTTCATGTTTTCTTCTCTGTGCCCTGAAGTTGATTTCATATAAATTGAAGATACTAACCTAAATATACCTATCCTGTTTTTTAATAGTGTTTCAAACCTCAAATTCTTAGGCTGTTTTTATGCATTTATTGTGTCATTGTGTTCCGGTAGGTCAGACATATATATATATATATATATATTGGTCCAAGGACACGACCCTGAGGTACTCCTGCTTTAATAGGTTTACTGTCAGACCGTACTGTGTCTACTTTTACTACAAAATGTCTATCCGTTAGACCGTTACATCTGATAAAATTTTTTCTTGAAACCCTGAAATTATAAGCAGAAAAAGGAGGCCATAGCTCCAATCGTTCCTATTGAATCGATCATGGCAGTCTTAGTTTGTTGCACGGTTTACATATTTTAAGATATACCTTACACAGCAAACATAAATTATTTTGATATAAATTAGACTAAAACAATCTTATATATTACACTATGCAAATCAGCATTCAGAAAATGGATGAAACAAGTTGGCCAATATGAGGCAAAAAGGATTGCTCGTTTGCAGTTACTAAAAGCATAACAAATTATTAAATGGTTTGTTACAGTCATGGGGTTCTTGTTTGAGGAGAATATCATAAAACAAAGTGTCTCAAATAATTTATTTATTTATCATAAATAATTTATCACTGAAATAATGTATTGTTTTTTTTAATAATAAGAATAATTTTAAACATACATTTTATTCATTGATGGATTATAATAAACATTTATTATAAGAATATAATAATATTATATTTAATAGATTTTTTTTTTTACATTCAATGTTTCTGTACATTTTTATACAATTTTTCTCAATTTTGAAATATGATAAAAGCATATAATAAAAATAAAAGCATTGTTTTAACTATAGAAACTTATTTAATTTTTAAACCGTGTGCTATATGGATCTGAGATGCCTAGGACGTTTCATAACGTTCTAAATTGAGTATGTTACTGCTACTGTTTCAAACTTATATAGATAATATAATATGCTCCCCTTCGACAGAAATAAATTGATAATTTTAGTTCTTCCAGAATTGGAATAAGAATCATCTAAAAAAATGTCGACGATTATCATTCATATTTACTTCCTAAATTCTTCCATCATGCCATTTTATAATACATCAAATAATTCTTCATCGATCTGATGAACAGGTGATAAGTGGCGTACACGAAGGAAGTTGCTAACACCTAGTTTTCACTTCAAGATACTGGAAACGTCAATTGAATCTGTCGGCCGAAACACTGAAGAATTCGTTTCACATTTGCTTAAGTCGAATGGGAAAGCCACTGAAATCGAGGATCATATATATTTGTTGACTTTTAAAATAATATGTGGTAAGAGCATTAAAACGTTTAAACAATTCAATCAGCTAAAAATTATATATACAAATTTTATCATCATACCAATATATTTTATACACTTAATACTTTGTTATATTTCAGAAACAGCAATGGGTGTTAAACTAAATACTGTAGATAATCAACAAAATGAATACATAAAAGCTTCAAAAATGTAAGTTTTGAAATAAATGTATATTATATAATGCTATTTTATTCATTATAGACATATATTAACTTAAGTAACGATGTTATGTAGTAGCTATTAACTATTATATATCTTAACTAGTATGCTACACGAATAATTCAATAAAGATAAACTTATGTAGCCCTGGAAAGAACAACATCATTTATGTTTTTAAATGTGTACGTTTGCATGGACGTGCTGATCTCATGTTAACAAATTTTATTTTATTTTCAGTTGTCATGACAGTACAGTGTATAGATATCTCAGGATTTGGCTCTTTCCTGATTTTATTTATCGTCTTTGTAAAGTAGGTAAAACATTTTTTAAATGTTTAGATGTCATTCACAATTTTGCAGATCAGGTGATTTATTTTTCACTTCTTAATATAAATAGAATTTATAATATTAATAGAATTATTAATATTAATAGAAATATTAATAATTTATAATATTAATATTTCTATTACATTATAATAGAAATTTTCACTCATTCCGAAGGCAATATTTCCTAGGCACATTCCTTTTACCAAATAATCAATAAACATCGTCCGTTCTACGCATACAATTTCCTACAATTCGTCAACAATCCACACTTTCTCCATAAGATCACATCCATCTGACCTTTACACCCCTTTCCACAGATCTGCCTCATTTAAACATTCCTTTGTTGTCCGTTTCACTGCATTCTGGAATTCCATGCCCCTAAAAATCCCCCATGCACCATCCTTATCAACATTTAAAACCCCCTTATTCCAATTCCTTTTCACAATTCAGCCGCTGGCTAAGTATATATTATGTAACAAGGTTTTAATTTTCTTTATCCTTTATTTTTTTTCTCTTCTGTTTTAAACATGAAATAGAATTCCGATCATCTTTCACAAAGCATTGTGAGTAGGTATAATTTTTTTTTGTTTTTCTTACGTTCTACCGTTTCTATTCATAAGATCGTATTTTTTTGAAGTGTATATTTTTTTATTTAAATGTATTTTATTTTTTATTTATCTTCTGTACACACCTCTCCATATATGTATATATATATTTTTTTTCCTGCTATAAATCTATTGCATCATACTGTCACAATATCACAATACTTGTCTAGTTTGTCACAATATCTGCATGTGTTTTCACTTAAACGTATTAAGGAACATATGTAAATAATTTATTTACTCTAGTTATTTATTTCTTTTATATAAATATATATATATATATATATATATATATATATATATATATATATATATACATAATCACTAAAATTACTTGCCTATAAAACTTATTTAGCGTTTCTTTCCAATTTTATTTAGTTATTTGTATGTTTTTGTTTTTTTGTACTAACATTGTAATATTGTAATCCTAGTACCCATCTGCTTTCCTTAATATAGCCTCCCAAATTATGTTTATACTCATTTTATTACTTAGATTTTAGTTACTCTTTATTATAATAGGTCATCTCGCCAGGTTTATTGTCAATTGGTTTGAACAATATTTACAATGAAGAACATTTAAATCATAGTGAATATATTATATGATAAATACAAATTCTACATCCCTTGTGATTTTTATTTGTTTTTAAACATATGTAAGTAGAATTTAACAGTTAAACTGTTTATGAATAATAATAGAAAAGCATTGAGTAGAGTACTTTAAATAGAGAAAAAACGGAAGATCTCATCTGTTTCCGATTATTCAATTTCTCTGTACAGACATCCATTCGTAGGCTCATTATTTTTTTGCTAGTTTGTATTAAACAATTTTTTTATTAGTAGTAACAACGTGGAATGAATGATTATTTTAAATTAATATTACTATATGTACTTGAGAGGGAGTATAAAATTAAGTTTATATATAGATATCAGTGCTATCATATAATGAAAACTTATCTTTATATATTTTTTATGTACCAGATCTTAAATGATAGAATTACATTTTTTTAAGGTGATTAAAAGCAGGAAAGAATTATTCATTGCTGAAAAAAATGATTTTACAAATAAGGATTCGAAAAGAAAAGGTAAAAGTGCTAACATTTATGATTTGTAACTTAAACTCTTTTATAATTAACCATGTTAGAAATAAACTCCTGGTTTTTATATTATGAGATATGGATTGACCTGTTTCTGTAAGCCTTTAAGTTCTGTATTGGTCTTTCTCCTCCAAGCGTTTGTATTTTGATCCCAAATCGCTCCGGATTTTGTTCTGCAGATTTTTCTCTCAAATCTTAAAAAAATGTACATATACACGCAGAGATAAAACTTTAAATAGTTTAAGCAATAGCCACCAAAGACCTAATTAGATACAATATTTATTTAACATTTATTTTTATTGATGTTACAGCAAAAAACACTTTCCTTGACAATTTACTCGAATTGGATGATTCCAATCCTGGTTTATTCACAAAATCTGATATCAGAGAAGAAGTTGACACTTTTATGATTGCGGTAAATGTATTCCTTATGTAATATTTAATGAAACGTTATTTATTCTAATTTTTACGTAAAAAAATGTCAATAAAGAATATTAATCGATTCAAAGAATATCGGTTTTTAGCAAAACGTCAATAGCAAATTGTTTTACGCAGATGATGTGGTATTGGTTGCGGATACTGCTGTGCATGAGGTCGCTGTGAATGAGTGGCAAGAAGAACTGCAACTCAGAAGCATGCAGATCAATCCCTCCAAAAGCAAGGTCATGTGTGTTGGATGAATGAACGAGCATCTTAGAATCACTTGCAATGGAGAGATCCTTGAGCAATCCGATACCTACTGCTACCTGGAAACAATGATTGGCGAGGATGGAAGAATAGACCAGGAAGTCATGAATAGAGCCCAAAAGGCAATGGAATATACTAACTACCAAATATCCATGACACTCATTGGAAAGCAGTAGTTGAGCAGAAACGCGAAGATTCTACTATTCAAATCAGTTTTTCTGATTAGCTACTCTTTTTACACTTTAGAGGTAGCTACTCCACGCTTAGCAGCTCACAGGAGATAGTGAGAGAAGAAGAATAAGAAGAAGCAAAACGTCACTAAGAACATTTTTGATTGAGTTGACCTTTTAAGAAGGTTTTGTTTATTTCGACTTTATTTGACGATAAAAAATACAAAGTAAGTGCACTAAAAGGGAACATATCCTTTTATATATCAAACATAGGTACAAAAGCGAAATTTACTAATTGGCAAAAGGGATAATTCATTTAAGTACTTAGTGAATTAGTAATTTAAATCATGGAATGTTATTTGATGACTTCTTTGAGAAAAAAAAAACCGATGATATATATTTATATTATATAAAAATCGTATTCCAATCTTCTTATGTGAAAATAACAAATAAACGGGAAAATTTTATTTATTTGAATACAAACATATTTGTGTACTAAACCTATGTGATAATGGACTTTCGTATATCCATCCCTCTCCACACCCGTCAATCCAAAACTCTTCCTACCTTTAAATCACGCCTGTTTAATCATTTCTTATCCACCCTGTCCTCATAAAATTGTAAATAGTTACTATTGTAAATATTTATATAAATTATTAGATCGTTCTACATTACTTTTATTTCGTGTTATTTTCAATTTTTTATTATTAACTGATTTAACTTAGAAAGTAACTTATAATTTCTTTTATTATCTTTTTTGTTTTGACTATTTAATTAAACTATATTCTTATTTATGTATCTCGGAGGTTCTTTGGAACAAATTAACTAACGTAGGCTAAATTACAGGGCCATAATCCAACTGCAGCTGCTCTGAAGTTTTTGCACTTTTTACTGGCTAACCATCCGGATGTTCAGGTTTGTTTTATATGATCAAATTTATATCTCTTAAATACTTATAAATATGATATCTATATCAAAATCTGAATACAATTTATTTTTCCATAAATTACAAGAAAATATTATTATTTTTTCTTTTATAATTGTATAATTATTGGGATCGCCCACTGGTTAAATTTGATCTACCGGATCCAGAAAAACGGTATCGCTTATTTTTTGTGATTTATTCATACAAATATTTATAATATTCTCACTCGATTTCCAATCTTTTTATTACCAGTAACACAGTTGAGAGAGAAGCGATCTATTGGGATCTAATGGAATCTTTCTTTTCTCTCCAAAGGTGGAGAGACAAGCCTTGCCTGATTATACTTTTTTTTTATATTTCACGAAAATTTTAAAGCCCAAATATTGTTAGAATGGAGTATTATTTAGACCGGGGTCATCAGTTTATGAATATGCCTTATGCCTTATTCCTAAAAATTTATTTCTTATTAAATGTGAATAAAAAAGCTATGACTTTCAGGGCCTAATTTATCACTCAAAATATTGGCTAGTTGTCCCCTAACCAAATTTTAAATATACATAGTTAATCAAGTAAATTGTATCATTGTCTCAACTTATTCTTGTTCCAAAAACAATTTTTTCCAAATGAAACACAATAAGTATCTGTTTTAAGTCCTTCCAAGTGTAATAGTAATTAAAAGGGACCTTCAATTTCAATATAGTTTTTATTGGCAACATTTATTTTCATATGTGCCGAACTAAATCTGTATAGTTTTTATTTATGAATCATATTTTAATTTTCCATGTCACAATCCACTATCAAGGTATCTGATTACAAAAGGAGTGAAAATGGTATTAGTGTTGATATCAAAGTATCTTGTTCCGAATAATATTAGATCGATGCTCAGTGCATATTTATTACGTGGTGGTGCCATAAACTGAACTTGAGTAGGATCAGGTAGGCTGCAGTAAGAATTGAAAAAAAGGACTAAAAGAGTTGTCGGTCTAGTTCCACCTTCCAAAACCATTAAATATATTTTTAACTTCCAAAGAAGCGTATTGTTAGGTTTGATTCTGAGACAAGAGTTTTTTCTTCCAGTGCTCTTATTTTTGGAGAGTTACGACGGTTACACAATGCCTAATTGCGTGAACTTTATCCGGTTAATATAATTGAGGTGATTACATCACGGCCGATCAACTGGGCTAGGAAAATTGTTGGACTTGGTAACGAAAGAATCCTAAATGATTAATATTTGCTGTTCTGAATGAAATTTCCGAGGGGTAGACCGAAGCGAAGGTGGGAAGATTGCATTAAAGCCGATCTGAAGGGACTGGGTTTGGACGGCGAGCGGTGGAGAGAGGTGTGTAATAAGCGATTAGTGGTGTCGGCATCGAACCTTCGGATTTGTTAAGCCCTTTATTACTATTATTAATATTATTTAGCGCTCTTTTCTTAACTAACTATGACTGATAAATTGATAAATCGAGGAAAAAATTATCTATTCTTGGAAAATTCTTCTAATTCTTGGAAAATTACTGTAAATATACCACAGCTGTTCAATACTCAGATATATCTACATCAATCAATCAGGGAATGAATCTTTTATTTTCAGGAAAAGGTACATGATGAACAGGTTGAAATATACGGGGATGATAAAAGAACGCCAACTGCCCAAGATCTTCATAAAATGATATACCTAGAGATGGTGATAAAGGAAACATTGAGACTATATCCAAGCATACCGTTGTATAGTAGGTTATTAGACAAAGATCTACAGATAGGTATGTATATTTATATATGCACATTTAAAATAAATAAATTAATGAAGAAAAGAAATTTTATTTTTTATATATTTTTGTAGATGAAAAAACTATTATTCCAGCGGGTTGTAATGTTGCCGTGTTTAATTACTGTGTTCATCGTTCCAAAAAACATTGGGATAATCCGGAAGAGTTTGTTCCTGAAAGATTCGTTCCAGGGATCGAAAGACATCCATATTCATTTATACCGTTTTCAGCTGGTCCAAGAAATTGCATAGGTAGTGCTCCAACTTCATTTTTTTAAGCCTTGAAGACTTAAATTTGATGGATAATCTTAATTATTTTTACAGGCCAAAAATATGCAATGATGGAACTGAAGACAATCATGTCGACATTAGTGCGGCAGTGCTGGCTAGAACCTGTCAGTACTTCAATGACTTTGGACTATGGTATTACATTAAGCTCAACAGAACCGATAATCGTGAAGGTTTTTCCAAGGAATGAAACGCAAAAATTGGTTTCCAATGAATGATTAAGATCTCTATAGTATAATAAAGCGTTTCAACTATTTAATAGAACATGACTTAAACTTTTTAAAAGTTGAAACATACTGTTATTGTGGTGCTATATATGTTGTTCAACATTATCGTATAATTTATAACTATGCAGTGGAATCTATCTTAGAATAAACAGTGTAAGTCAAATTCTCCCTTGCTGTTTAAAAGCTAATGGCCACATGTAAATATAATTCTCATTCTTACATTAATTATTTTCCACCTTACTAATAAGAAAATTCTTCACTTCTCCTATTCCTTTCCTCTTAGTTTTTGCCACTGCTAGCAAATCAACTTTGGCCCTCCTTATTTCCTCCAGAAGTTCGCACTCCTTCCCGTTCAGACCGCGGACATGTAAGCAGTCCAAAAATCCGTTTTTCACGCCGTATCGAGTTCCATAAAGACAATAATGGTTTTAGACATAATTGGAGGAGAGAAGATTCAATCAGTGATGGTCGCCTATAGACCGAATGAAAGTGGTGTCTCTGAAGAAAAAGATACCTTCTTTTATGAACCAGAAAGAAGTGGATGGCAGTGAAGGCATGCCCATAGATCTAGGAGATCTGACTGGCTGGGTAGCCCGTAGCTACAGAAGGTGGCCTGGAACCTTAGGAAGATATGGAAAAGACTTCCTCAACAACAACGGGGAAAGAATCGTAAACATCTGTGTGTCAAATGACTTGGTTATAACGAATACACTCTTTCCCCATAAAGAATATCATAAATATACCAGAGTGAAGCAAGGAAGAAACAAGAAATCTAAAATAGATTATATTTTGGTTAAAAGAGAGGAAATTCGAAAAATACAGGACACCATAATCACAAGAGGATTTGAGATCGGAAGTGATCATTATCTTCTAACAACAACCAAGGCATGGAAAGATCCGAACCCAAGAAAAAGACGAGTCATCAAATCGTACCGCTCAAAACAGGAGGAAATGGAGACATATTTTCTGAAAGATGTAGGAAAATGGCTTTAGAGCAAAACAGATCTTGGGATAACGACACGAGCTGAACAGATTTTATGAGAATCCTCCTAGATGCCTCAAAATTGGTCTGTGGCGAGAAGAGAGCAAGATCTTTTCCCAACAGAACTGCCTGGTGGACAGAAGATGTTAAAAAGGTGATCCAAGAAAAGAAGGAAGCTTGGAAGAATCGTCTGACCCTGAAAACTCCCGCTGCTTATCAAGTATAAAAGGATCGGATGAAAGAAGTGAAGTTAAAAGTGCTAGGAGAAAAATAAATCATGGAAAGACTATGGCCGGAAGCTCGAGGAAAATTCTAAAGTAAACCAGAAGGTCTTCTATAAGGTCCTCAAAGGAATGAGAGGAAAACGACCGACTTATCTGAAGGGAATTAAAGATAGAATATATCAGTGAAGAAGAACTTCAAGAAGCCATCAACAAAGTCACACTGGGCAAAGCAGTGGATCTTGACTAAATAAAGAATATAGAACTTTCGGTTCGCTTTGTGGACCTTCAAAAAGCTTCTGACAAACTGAGAAAAGAAGACATAGAGCAGGCACTGTCAGATAGAGGCATCGATTGAGGGACGACCTTTGCAGTAATGAGTCTTTATAATAAAACCAGGAATGTGGTTAGAACAAAAAACTACATATCGCAGGAATTCGAGACAAAATCAGCTATTCATCAAGTTTCTTGCTTGTTACGTCTTATATTTCATAAAGAATGTCTTCTTCGAACAGTCCAGGAGTCCGATAGATAAAATCCAAATAATGCATAAAACATAAATCTGTAGACAAACCTAAAAATATGGCTTATGAATTAACGATTTTCCCTCAAATTATCTTAAAATATGGCTAAATTCGGTTAATTATAATACATATTAAGTAAAGAGGTAGCAATACAATGATCGAATGAAATAAAAAATATAGGCTCATCAATATATAACCTAGTCATCCATTATTTATGAACTATTGGGAGGAGGAGAGTATATATAACTATCATAATTAACATAGAGTTCAACGTACTTGATGATGCTCGTCACTTTGGGTTTGATCTGTGTGCTTCTTTCAGTCCTGTGCGGCTTCCTTACCAAATATCAGAAGTCATCCGCGATACCTGGACCAAGAGGACTTCCATATTTTGGAAATGTATTGGTTGCGATAGGAATTACTTCCAAAGGTATTTAAAATAGTCATAATGCACTCACTACGTTATAGCTTTGATATAAATTAAAAAGAACGCTTTATGAAAGGTTCTCATCTTTTACTTTCACTGGTCTATGGGTTTATTATATAGAAAGACAAAATATTGAGATCATGAAAATTTTCGATTTTGAGTTTTTAAGGAAGTATTCGTTTTGAAGTTCTTTGAGTCCAAATAAATTGAGTTCCACAAAAATTGTGTGTGTGTTAGTCCATATGAAAAGCCTAGCTCAAAAACGGAAAAAAGTCGTAGGAAACTGATATTTAACATATTTAAGCAGGTCTGTGATGTTATAGCAACTGTTTCATTAAAATCGACTAACCGGGAATATATACTTTATACGCCTCTAATGATTCTAATTAAACTCAGTATATCAAAGTACAATTAAATGGTCTTTGATTTCAGCCAAATCTTGTCCTCATTGATGTTATCAAACCGGGCTAAAATGACAAATGTTCAAAATTTCTTCCTCAAAATTACCATTTTTTTAATTTTATTTTAAATAAATAACTGTCAATAGCAATAAAAAAATTGTGAGATATAAACTATGAAATTATTTTTTAATTGACTAAAGGAAAAAAAAAATAGTTTTTTTATGAAATGAATTGCTGGAAATAATAATAGGCAGAATATATATATATATATATATATATATATATATATATATATATATATATATATATATATATATATATATATATATATATAATTTACAACCACTTAATATATTAGACAGTATAGTTCCCTAAAATCCTCAGCTTTTCAACAATATATATATATATATATATATTCAACTCATATTTATGGATAGGCATTAATATAGTATACGCATAAATGACTATCCAATAAAAGTGAGTTGAATTATCTCAAGGTCGTGAAGAAAGTGAAGATATACTATATCTATATATATATATATAGTATATATATGTATAATATATATAATAAATATAATTTTTGAAAACTAACATTATTTAACGGAAACCAAATTTCTAACGAAAATTAAATGAATTTTTTAAATAAATGTAAACTTTTTAAAACATTTTTAAATTTGAAAGAAGATTATATAAATTCCACAAAAAAAGACCAAGGGCGTACGTAAGGAAGGGTTTGACCGTTGCCTCCTTCCATCTAAATAGTTTGAAAGAATATAACACAATAAAATAATGTTTGCCGAAATTTGGTGAAAATATTTTTTTTTAAAAATAAATTGTTGTTCTGTGTATGTATATATCAAAGCAACATGTTGCCAGTCTTGTGAAGCACTAATTTAGATGTACTTTCAATTTCCTCTTCTTCTTTTTATATAGAGCTCGGAGACTTGAGATTTATGCGGTTCAAAAAGACATGTGAAGTTATTTTAATGGTCTTAATGGATTTTGGGAAGTGAGCTGTAAGATATAGCTCCGTTGAAAATACAATTTAAAACTTTGCGATATCCCAACTTGGCCAGAAAATAATATCTGTTCAAAGTAGGGCGGTAAGTGAAATTTGTGTGAGGCGCGCACCAAAATTTGTTAAAATTAGTTACAATTGTTGCTATACAGCCATTAAAAATTTACAAGATTAATCATAAAACATTCTTAAAAAAAAAGCAAAACATTATTTAAGAATAATGCATAATTTTATTTGCAAAACTATGTTATTAAGTACCTAACTATTACAGATCAGCCTGAACAGTTCAATTATCTATAATTATTGTATCTCGGCCACAAGCTGTGCTGAAACTCGTTCTTTTCATATTTACTTAAATCAGTATTCATTCGAAGTTACAAAGTCCTCATTAACCCACTATGGACATATGGGATCGAACTATGGGGAACAGCAAAGAAATCAAATGTAAAAATCATTCAGTCATTCCAGTCAAAATCCTTCGGAAAATTGTAGACGCACCCTTTTACGTTTCAAATCTCACGTTACACACTGACCTTAACACTCCTTTCATCACGGCAACTGCCACTGACCGCTTTAATAATTTTCATGACAGACTGACTCTAAATTCCAATCCACTTACTCAAGCTCTATCTACTGCCACAAATCCATATAATCCGCCCAGAAGACTGCTGAGGCGGTGGCCAAGAGACTTATTGCATTGAGCTACTTGCTGCATTATCTTTTTTGTGTGTGTATTTGTTATTATGTTATAATGTATGTGTTATTTTACTAGGTTTTTTTTTTTTTTTTTTTTTTTTTTTTTTTTTTTTTTTTTTTTTTTTTTTTTTTTGTTCTGTTATTCTTCTCCTTGATATCATATTTGCTGAATACTAAGGTAGATGGCAAATTTATTGTGAGCCACAAATATGTACAACTAATAAATAATAAATTCGAAGTTAAAAAAAACAAACTAAAAATCCAAACATCTAACGAAAAAAGATGGAACTTATCAGAAATTGTTTATTACATAATCGGTACAGTGTCCTAATATGCATACATGCCTTTAATGTTGGGTAATATCAAAAAATACAAAATTTGCTGCAAAATTTTGGAATGTACATATGAAGTTATTATTTCTTTATCTTTTGATCGGTTGAATATAAAATAGTAGATATATATATATATATATATATATATATATATATATATATATATATATATATATATTTAAAAAATAAATTAATGTTTAACAACTTATGTATATAACGTAAAATATGTTAATTATACACAAGTTTAAGTTTTATGAGGAGAACACATTGGCCCAGTTTCATTAAAACCAGTTAGTACATCCCTGTAGGCCCAACAATCTATAGCGATAAAGGCTTTTCGGCACCATATTGAAAATAATAAACGGATGGTAACGCCGAGTTCCGAAGATCTTCTTCGGGTGACATTGATTCCAAATCTCAAAACAATCCGTCCAGTAGTCTAAAAGAAAAGACATGAACGGTGCACAGTTGGTTGTCCCAGTCTACCTAGAGTGGAAAAAGTCAAAATATCGATAGAAAATTGTTTTATAGAAAATCACATTAAACATAGGTGTAATATATGTATGTATATATATATATATATATATATATATATATATATATATATATATATATATATATATATATATATATATATATATAAAGTTTGCTACAGTGTATTACAACACTATTGCAGCCTAAAGTGTGTTATCTAGTAACATATGATTGAAATAGCGATTACTAATTTGTACTAGTGAAAATACGTGTCATTTAATTCTTTACTCACAAAGAGTAAAATATCTTTAAAAAATCTTACAAATTAAATTGAAACTTTTCAACTGGAAAGCCATGGATGTACTTATGTTCAAGTTGTATAGAAAGCCGAGAAAGAATTTGTGATCCCATGCATTTCCATCGATAAGAATATTTAATAATTGATACCAAAAGAATTTAAAGATTAAGTATCCATAGTACTCTGTCAAACAAAAATGAAATCTCTAATATTAAGAACCAAGAAGATTATAGAACAGCTGCCTTAAAAAGCGATGAATATATTTAAAAAAAAAAATTGATGGAAAAAGTTCCAAGATGGATTTCCAGAGTTGGTGAAACTGAACAAAAATAATTAGAAAGTAGGATTAGATAATTAGAATATCAGTTATATCTAAATTTAAAACAAGATGAAACCAAACTACACCCACCCGGAAAGAAATTTTTGTTAGAAAAATTAGGAAAAAAAACAATCAGATCCTGAAGAATGGTTAAGTAGATTTGAAGAATAATAAAGTCGCTTCCAGATAAATTAAATTTAATCTTTAATTGATTTTGCCCTTACAAGGGAAAGGTTATGCATTGAGCTAGAATCTAAGAGTACTGAACTATTGCGTATTAACTAGATAGTTTTTGGATTGCCGGAAGAAGCTCAAAAAGAACTTGATGGGGAAATTATAAATGCACTTGAAGACTAAGTCCAGCATAACTGAAGGGTCTCCAGAGATTGAAAACCTAGAAATACTAAAAATTAATCTGGGCAATAAACATTTAAATTAAAAACAGAGGAAATTAGTTCCGTTGATAAAATTAAAAGTAATCATCAATGATATTATACAAACATAAGCTATTTATGATGGTGGCTCTAACGTCACATTAATTATTCAAAAAATTGCTGATTTGGCCAAGTTGAAATTAATTGAACAAAATAGTGCACTGAAAACTATCAGCAGATTAAATTTCACCTCATCCCGGGCTACAATTTTACTTCGAATTGCAAATATTTCAGATTTTTTAAAAGCTTACGTCATCAATTACGATAACTTTTCTTATGATATTTTATTGGGTATTGATGCTATCAAGAAATTTAAAATGATTCAAAATGAAAATTTGCGAATTTTATAACAAACAGATAACAATTACGTGATAGATTTACAAGAATACCGATCCAAAATGATCGAGAGGATAATTTCTAACGATTTAATTTAGATCAGATATCTAATTATAAATTCAAAGATAATCACACTTTAATTGATTCAGATGATGTTGACGATTATATTAAATTGAATTTCAATGAAAATTTAAGAAATTCGATGACTATTTAAAACATATTGAAAATGATGATAAGAAACATCAGATTTCAGAGGTTATTGATAAACGTAAACATTTATTTGCTAAAGATAAATTTGACAATTGAAAAGTGCGATCAAAAGATGCAGAGATAAAACTGTTATCTAACGAGTATGTTACCTGTCGTCCGTTTAAATATTAACTTCCTGACGATGAAGAAATAAGAAGTCAGATTTAGGCATTTTTACAAGCAAAGCTCATTAAAGAATCCGATTCTCTATTCGCTTATCCTGTTACCCTACTATGTATCGATTTCTGCAAATTAAATAAATCGGTGATTTCAGAATGTTTTCCATTTCCCACAATACAAGACGTAATCTGCAAAGTAGGTCATTGCGAATACTTCACAGTTTGCTTATATCAATTCGGTATTTTAGTATATTAAGCTAAAAGAAGAAGACTTAAGGGTAGCCGAGACTAAGTCAGTAGGAGAGATATCGAA